CTCCCCCCACCGGCTTTTCCCTGGGCTCCTTCCCTGCATGAATAAAAGCGGCCCCTCGCCTGCCCCATGGCCGGCGCCCCACGCTCACAGCCTGCACAGGAGCAGGCACAGGCAGTCTGCGAGCAGCTGCAGTGCAGGGTGTGGGGCATGGGGCGGGGAGGGACTGCTTCCCCCTCCCCCTGCATGTTCAGCACCACCTTGTAACCTAGTGCTGGTGCTGAGCGCGGGGAAAAGTGGCCCCTCGCCCGCCCAATGGCCAGTACCCTACACTGCAGCCACCTGTAGCCCGCATGAGGCTGCCTGTGCCAGCTCCGGACAGCCCCGCTCGGGTTGCAAGCAGGTGCAGCAGGGAGTACCGGCCATGGGGTGGGTGAGGGGTCACTTTTTTCCCTGTGCTAAGCACCAACTTCTTCCCTGCCAGTGAGCAGGGGTCGGTGCTGAGCGCTGCCCCCTGCCTGTACCACAGGGCTGGGGGCACACTGGGTTCGAGCGGGCGGGGAGCCAGCGGAAGCACAGGGCCCACACCAGTGTCCCGGGGCCAGTGCTGGTGGGGCCTAGAGCAGGGTGTCAGGAGCACAGGGTCCCAGCTGGCAGGGGCTCTGGAGCTGGGCCAGCTCCTCCCTCCCTGCTGGTGCAGCCCAGCCCAGCTTCACAGACCCTTGCTGGCCTGTGCCCCTCTCTGGGCCCCACTGGTGCTGGCCCTGGGACATTGGTCCCAAGACATTGGGATGTTGGTCCCAAGCTAGTGACCAGGGGGTGGGACACCTGTTAACGGGCGTGGCTACCCATGCGGCCCTTGACAGCCTGCCAAAACTGGGTAAGTGGCCATCCGCTCAAAATAATTGCCCACCCCTGTATTAGTGGCTGATACACTCATATTTTGTATGAGTGCAGCACATCTATGCTGGTTTTACACTGGATTAGCTATGTTGCTGTAATCAAATCAGTATAAGTAGCCCAGTATAAAAAGTGCAGAATTTGGTTCACAGTATTAAATTTTAGGTATGGGTAAAGGAAACTACTTCAAGCCCAGAAAAGTTTCTCTTGGAGTAATGACTCTTGGGGTCATTAGTTCCCAAGGGGAAAAAGGAGGGTTAGGTTTAAAAAAGTAATTCTCTCCTTGATTTTAGTCGCATTTTCAGTAGTTTTCAGTTAAAAAGGGACCATTCCCATAGTTGTCTCATCCATGACTACTGCCACTGATTTCTTTTGTAACTTGATTTATTTTAGCTCTTGATGCCACCCTCTGCAGAAGTGCTGTGCATTTTGGGAGCTGGGGTTCAAGCCCATAGCCATTATGATATATTTACAGAGCTGTTTTCATTTAAGGAGGTAAGAGAGCTATAGTATCTAAATGGAAAAAAATATTTTTCTCAATCTGTTTTTCAGTAGCATGTAGGTAGAGTAACTAGGGCACACAAAATCAGTAAAGGTGCATCTAATATTTCAGGGGTGTAGGTTGTAGCCGTGTTGGTGTAAGGACATAACCAGACAAGGTTCTTTGGGTGAATCTGATGTATTTTATTAGACCAACTAAAATAGTTGGGTGGGGGGGGGCATGGAAATTTAGCAAGCTTTTGGGTTTACAAACCCTTCATCAGGCTGAGGAAGTCTCTGCAGTTAGTGTGCTCTTCCTGGATGGAATGAATAGTAAAGAGCGTACGTACCAACTGCAGAGACTTCCTCAGCCTGACGAAGGGCTTTTAAACCTGAAAGCTTGCTAATTTTTTTTTTCCATCTATTTAAGTTGGTCTAATAAGGTATCAGATTCACCCAAAGAACCTTGTCTATCTAATTCAAACATTTTTAGCAAAGCATCTTTAGAGAAGCTAATGATACTTGCAGTTCTCCAGATCAGGGGTCTGCAAGCTTTCACTGAGAGCAGGCTGAAATGATATGGCTTGATCCTAAAGCGGGCTGGAGGTGGCCATTGACTGATGCATTCTCATACAAATGGACAGAGTATATTAAACAAGCTTTGCTCAGTAGGCCAAGTAAAAATCACTTCATGAGCCCGATTTGGCCTGTGGGTGGTATGTAGATTGCCGCTGCCTGCTGTACCTGGTCTTTGGATCACAAAGGGATATTGTAAAACATATGTAGGAAACATCAGATTTCCTTTTTTCCAAGTATGAAAAAATCCTACTATATGTAGACCAGCTTCCCAATGCCTGCATCGGTTCAGAGTTGCTACATTTCTAGAATTTGCATTTTCTAAGTCTAAAGATATAATGAGCTATTATACTAGCAGGGCAAAATTAATCCCACACGTGGAATTGTGGGACAGGAGGATTAATGATAATAAGGGATGAGGAAGGCTAAGGATATTTTTATTTTAATTAAAAAACAAAACAAAAAACTTCATTTGGGTGAGTAGAATGAGAGGTTGAATTACTCCCACAGCAGTTCCACTTCACCTACCTGCTTTTTGTTTTTGCTTTGAAGGTCAGGATGTGGAATCGCACGAAAGAGAATGCTGTGAAGTTTGCTGGCTCAGTGACGGGTCCAGTGCAGGTTTGCTCTTCTGCTCAGGAGGCCATTATTGGGGCTGATGTCATTATAACAGTTACCATGGCAACAACACCTATTTTATTTGGAGAATGGGTAAAACCAGGTGCCCATATCAATGGTATGTCAGGCTTTCCTTGCTTAGGGGAATTTCTCTGCTGGACTCATCATTGTGTGATTTAGCTCTGGTAATGTGCTCACTGCTGTTTTCTACTCTCAGAAACTAGAATGTAGGTTTCTTAGAATAAACACTTCTTTATTTTGAGTGCTTCACTTTGAGCATTGCCCTACTGGTGCCTGGATTCGATGCCTTGTAGGATCCCACCGTGGCTCAGCACATCTCATCTTTGCAGTGGACTCCTGTAAGATTTGGCTCTGCTTCCCCATGGTGTCCAGCTTGTCCCCTATATAAACAATACCTCAGAAACATGTTTTGCCTAAAGTAATGTAGGGTAGCACTATGATTTCCCTGGGATCTATAATCTTTTTCTCTTGCTGTACTGTATCTTGCAAGCCTGAATTGCATTGACTTCCTTGGAAGCTTTGCATGAACTATGGACTATGTAAAAATTGTATAAGAAACTCTGGATTTGGACTTTTCATTTTGTTTTTATTTTTTTTCCTCTAATGAGGCTGCTGCATTAGTGGAGAGCCTCCAGACCCATTGGCATTTACTTATATTTATTAATTTTGGACTTGGTTCAGAAGAACTAGTGCCCTTTTCAAGTGGTTTAGTAATAGAACAAAAATAGCTTGTTAAAGGGGACAATTTAAAGGAAGTTCCTGCATTCTAGCACCATCCTACTGATTTTTCAGACTTGGTTAAATCCTTTGTCATCAACACTGTTATCTGTGCCATGTCACAGCAGGGGGGCCAGGATTACAACTGGAATCGATTAGTGTCTTTAGTCCTACATAAAGACCCAGTCTCCTTGTTTGTGTTTTGTTTTGTTTTTATTTTTCTCAGAGGCGTTCCTACTGTTTGAGCAGGCATTCGGACAAGCCTCACGCTAACTGCTGGGAAAGGGCAATTGTTGTCTCATTCAGTACAGTATTCTCTTTGCTTTCATCAATTCGAAGCAAGTTGGTAGTACTGTAGGGTTTTTGGTTTTTTGTGGGTTTTTTTGCATTTTTAATATAAGCCTTTGATTGTTTAAAGATCTCTCCAGATAAGTAAAAAATCCATAACCAGACTCAAAGTGCACTGGTGATGAAGTTACAAGAAAAGACTGGAAATTGTGTCTGCTTATAAGTCTTGGCTAATATTGTTCAGTCATTCATCTTCCCTTGCTGCTCTTTGCAGCAAATTATGTCTTTGGTTTTGATCTGATAAAGATGAGCGAGGAAGCTTTCAAATTGCATTTCTCTGAAGGCATACAGCATCAAGAGAGCCTATATCAAAATGGTTTTAATAAATGGCTTATGAAACTCAAGGCATTTACAAACAAATTTAAGGAGAGGGACAAGAAATAACTGGGAAAGTGGGGTGGTTGACTCATTTACTTCCACTCTTTGCATCTTGCTGGGGAGAATGGTACATTGACAGCACCCAAGGTTGAATACTTTAGAAGGGCTTTGCCAGGAGTAGAGGGGAAGGTGTGGGTTAAGAACAGAAAAAGAAGGGGAGAGTGAAGTGGATGGTGGGAGAGGATTCAATGGAATATGTATAGTATCAACCATGTCTCTTGGACAGGTTATAAAGTTACACTACAGTGAGGGTTGTTTGTGGGGTTTGAGTTGAATAATAAAGTTATTTACAGAGTAAAAGGTAGAAATTCAAGCTCTCTTTGTGTCCGCAGATGTGGTGCAATGTAAGTAATGTCAAGGCAAGCTTCCTATGTTGCCTTACTGAAGTGACTTGCCTGTATCCTTTGAAGTTGTCATGTACTGGGGGATGGAGCTCCCCTTTCACCCTTACAGCAGTCTTTGGTCTCTCTTCTGAGGCAGCTACACTCAGTTTCGCTGGTTTTAGATTTTTTTTTGGATTGGTGCAAGGAATGGTTTGGCAGACACTGTGGGAACAGGAACAAGCTGGGACATGTATAAAACTCTTCAGCCAAATTTGGCCTAAAGTGGTAGATTCATTAGGTGATTTTCAACAACCCCCCCCACCTGCCAACTATTTTTCCTTTGTAAATGGTATTTGGCTTCAGAGACTTCCTCCACCATGCTACTTGGAGGAAGCACTTTGGCTGAAATGGAGTAAAAATACTGAGAATTTTTTTCCTTTACGGGTTCAGTTGGCCACTGTGGATTTGCTTCCACAAATCATACTTTAAAGTGGGAGCATCCTGATTCTGTAAGGAGACCCATTGATTTCAGTGGTATCAGTCATGCTCAATTGAATATACAGACTTCTGTAGGATCAGGATTTGACTTAGTAAGGGACTAGGGTGCTGGGCACTGCTATATAGGCACTCATCACTTTGGAGGTTTGTTTGAACCCTGGGGGTCAATACTGCTGTGAGACCCATGGGAGTAGAACATGCTCAGCATTTTGCAGGATCAAGCCTTTTGCATGTATAATGTATAGCTCTGTCCAAACAGGAGGAGCCCAAGACTTTCCTCAGAAGGTGAGGCTCTTCATGCTCTCTTTCAGTGAATGTCCCAGGGGTTAATTTAAACCTATATTTCATCAGTGTGGACATCTGGGCTAGGCCAGTTTTGTTCTAGTCTTTTGTTTTAGAAATGTTTTTGGTCCTGTCTTTTGGTCTAGAAATGTTTTTGTTAACTAAACATTTCTTTCAAATCCATTGCTTTTGTCTTTTAGCAATTGGGGCAAGCAGACCAGACTGGAGAGAATTGGATGATGTAGTGATGAAGAATTCTGTGCTGTACGTGGATTCCAGAGAGGCTGCTTTGACTGAATCGGGAGATGTTATATTATCAGGGGTAAGGCTTTTGTTATGTAACAGAGCTCCCAACCAGATGAAAATTGCTTTTGCATTGTGCCACTTCTCATTGTAGCTTTTGCTTTCACTCCAACTCTATTAGCAACACCGTAGCATTCTTTTGGAAGATCTATACTTACCAGAGTTCTATAGCTATGTCAGAAAAGAAAAGAAAAATTCCACATTTTATTACTGCTACCTCTCATTTTTGTCCAGAGAGATCTCTGTGATTGGTACTCACTGCTGTGTCACACATACAGACATCTCTATGCTATATTTTTCAGAATGTCTAAAATTTTACTGTCTCTGGCAGAAAAAAGAAGAGAAGTCAGACAATGTATGTACTGCAGAAAAGTAAGGGAAAGGGACAAAGTACCATGGATTGTACCCCCCGCCACACACACACACATTGCAATACTGCAATGTCCACATACAGTAAACAGGGCCTTCATTTATAAGGTTTAATTTCAGGGACTTGCATTCTGTAAAATGCACAAAACTCTATCCTTTCAGAAAGGTAATGAATAAGAACCTATCTATTGGACAATGAAAATCTGGCAGATTTGTTTTCTGTGAAAAGTCTTTTGTGATTACTGTCCAGCTTATATTGTCCTTGCCCTAGGAAATTTTTCAATTTTATTTCTCATCTCTTTTAAAATAACTCAAGACTTAGTTTTTCTCTTGACAGTTGCCTTGGATATCGAGCTTCTCTAACTAAAGAAATGTGCATTCATTTCACAGGCAGAAATTTTTGCTGAGTTGGGAGAGGTAGTGAAAGGGACAAAACCAGCACTCTGTGGGAAAACAACAGTGTTCAAATCACTGGGTAAGAACAGCACTCCCCTGTGTGCAAATCTGACAAGAAGCAATGCCTTGTTATTTATTAAGTTTCTCTTGCGTGGGAAAATTGCTGATCATCTTCAAAGCTTCTGTCCCATAGCATTCTACAGAAGAGAATAGCCATAGCACATATTGTGCGTTTTCCTTTTCTTTTTCTTAGCATAGCATGACTGATTGTAATGGGGATTGATAGGAAAACAAAGAACAATGTACTTTTCTCTAATTTTTGTTTTACATTTGTTTACCTCAGTTAGCTAATGACTATTGGTTATAAACATTGCTGCAGCCCAGTTGAGGCCCTGAAAGTCTGTTTGACCTAAAGATAATGTGACAATGAAGTACAGTATTGGAACCTATTTTAAAAAAAGAAAGACGAGAGAGAGAGTACCTTTCTCTGAGCTTAATAATTTGTTGGCCAGGATTCTTGGTACTAATTGTTTTCGTTTTTAGAGTATGAATCTCTGGTCACTGGCAATTAGATTGAGGCCAAAATATTCATTTAGGACAGGACACTTGATTAGCCATTTGGTGTGACAGTAGCTTTTGGTCATTACCAGACTAGTGTCCTGGAGGTGTAAGATTTTCTGTTCCATTCAAGAATATCCTGAATCCTTCTGTTCTGTATGAATCCCCTATGAATTCCTTTCATGAGATCAGATTATGAAGGTGATTTAAGTGTGTTCTATATTTCAGGGATGGCCATTGAAGATACAGTAGCAGCAAAATTAGTTTATGATTCCTGGTCAGCTGGTAACTAAAACTGGAGAGCCTGCAATATCAAGACGGGCATAACAGTCTGAAGTCAGTGGCTTGCATTTGGCTTTTGGGCACTTTTTTTCTTTACACAGAAATGTAATAATCGTACATGTTATGTACAAAGCTTTTTCATAACTTTCAGTCATCAACTTTAAAACCACAAACTGTGCAGTACATAATCCTGTATTTTTAAGACAGGTATCTAATGTTTCTGTCACTAACAAATGTACTTCTGTGTATTATCCTTATAGGACAAATGATTTACCACTCCATGCATCTTTCGTGGAGAGCTTTGAGAGCTAATTGGTGTTATGGTGAAATATGCTGGTTTGAAGATTAGAGTTTAATGTTCTGTCATGGAACAAAAGAGATGGCACTCTCACTTGAAATCCAGTGGGTTGCATTCTTAGCATGTTGAACCTGCAGTGCAGTTCAACATATATCCTTCCATTCTCAAGCTCCAATTCAGGAATACTAGGAGTTTTGTAGATCAGAGATTGTGTCAAGTGGAAGGGTCACATGCTGACCCACGGTCAGATCATTGATTCAGATCACCGTCCCTGATTCGATCCAGCCGAATCCTGAAAATTTGATGCTGATTTGGGGAATCAGCGATTTGGACATAGGCACAGCCATAAAAGTTTTTTTCTATATACCTTGAGGTAGCAGGTGCGGCTTGTGAAAGCTGCAATGCTGGGGCACATGGAGCGTCCCATAGGAGTGCAGAGGGGCCCTCCACATGCTCGGCGGTGAACCTGGAAGTGGACCAGAAGTACTTAGGCGTTTGCTGGGGAACGCACTGGGGGGGACCCCAGCTCGGCGATTGCCTGCAGGGAAACCTGGAAGTGCTTCTGGTCCGCTTCCAGGTCTGCTGCTGAGTGCACTGGAGAGCCCCCCCTGTGCTTCTGGGACACTCTGCGCTCCAGCATTGCAGCAGGCACGAGCCCCTGATACTTATAGGTATGTGGAAAAAACATTCAAAGCTGTGTCTGTCTGAATCTCTCCAAATCGATTCAGAGGGTTCAGATTCCATTTAGAGAGATTGAAGGGTCCTCTGATTTGATTCAGATTGAGAGATTCGGCCACCAAATTGGGCCGAATCTCTGCTGAATCGAATCGGGAGCAAAGCTTCTCACAGCCCTAGAGTTAATGCCTATTTCTGTAAGCAGCGAGGCCTTTAGCAGAGCCTTTGTTTAAGCTGTGTATGCACTGATCAATGATTGTATTAATACATGGTCCAGCAAGGCCTACTGTCCATTAAATGCGTCCTTATTCTGTGCAGGGGTGTAGGTTGTAGCCGTGTTGGTCTAAGGACATAGGCAGACAAGGTTCCTTGGGTGAATTTGATATCTTTTATTAGACCAATTCTTGTTCTGTGGAAGCATATGCAGCAGTCATTGCAAATGATGGTATCAGTATTGGCAAAGCCAGAAAGTGGAGGTACAAGTATTATTTAGAGTTAAAAAAAAACAAACAAACAAACCTCTAGGTCGGGGGTAGGCAACTCCTGGCATGAGTGCCCAAGTGTGGCATGCAAAGACATTTTACTTGGTACTTGCACTTCTAGGAAGGGCTAGGGCTACTCTGCCACAACAAGAATCAGGCCCTCCTTGTCCTCTTGTAGCTCCCCTGCCATCTGCACCTGGCAATTCAAGGTTGCAGGTGTTTTTGGCACTCTGCTCAAAAATGTTGCCGACCTCTGCTCTAGGTGATGCCCAAGTAAGGGAATTTAGAGGTCAAAGGCCTGTGATGCAAACAATCGCCTGACTTTCTAACTTCTGCTTTTTCCCTCAGTTTCCTTTGATGCTTCCAATACTAGACTTATCAGAGTGCTTACCTGTAGCAAAATGGCAGCACATTATTAGGAGTCTTGGAGTGTTAGGTTGCCCACTCAGTGAATTTCAGTGGGACTTGCAAATATGGTTCACTTAGGCTCCTTGGGAAATCCCAGTCTCCATCTGTTCATATTTCTTGTTTTACAAATCACAGTGGCATAATCTCAAGATAAGTATTATGTATTACTTAAATTTATGTTGAAATTAAAATGAACTATCTGTTTCTAGTAGGTGCTCTTCTGATTACCCACTATGTGTTTTTAATATGTTTTTTGAAGATTATAAATAAAACCTCTTTTTCTATCTAACTTGTCTCATTGTCTTTCCTGTGTCTTGACTCCAAGAGTCAATATGGCTGCCTTTTGTAGCTAATCACTTGCTGTATAAAAGGGAAAAAGACAAGCTAGTTCTGCTCCGTTTGGGGACTGGGTTTTTTATGGTCATGGAGCATGTTCTTTTTCCATGTTTGTCCAATTTAGATTGTAAGCTCCTTGGGGAGCATCCATTCTCCTCCATTAGGGGTTGTCTTTATCCATCAAAGGCAGCAGGATAAAACAGATTTACAAGTGGAAATGCACAGGATGAGATTTTTTTTTTTTTTTTTTTTTTTTTTTTTTGAAGGAGAGAGGGATTGGCAGCATTTTCAAAATCGTTCTGGCACTTTAACTCCTACTGAAATCAACAGGAGTTAGGCACTTATGTGCCTGGGAGAATCTTGAAACTTGCCTACCTCTAGCTTTAAGCACATACCTACCTTTTTAAACCTGGCCCCCAGAGTTGTATTACAGGCATCACATGGTACTCTGGTCTAGTCTTGTTGATGCTCATTTAAGTGAACAATGTAATGTAGAGATGGGTTAGTAATATCTACTGAGACTTCAATCAAAATATGTAACAAATGAACATGCGACAACTGGTGACTGTTCTGCAGAATTGCCACGTGCATCAGTTCCACCTTTAGTGACATAAGTCATAGATGGGTTGATGTTGTGGTAAGAGTTCTGCATGTCTTCTGATAACAAGTGTATGTAGGGAGACAGAGAAGAAAGTGGATGGTAATACAGTAGTGAGTGGAAATGGTCTGTTGGAACTGGATTCTAGTCATCTTGCAAAGTAAATGATGACAGAGCTTAGCCAGTAAATCGGGACTGGGATGGTGAGGTAGGTCTATGTCCAGCAGTCTGAGCTCAGGGAAAATTACAAGGGTTTGGAAATCAATTTGCCCAAGTAGGGTTGAGAGGATTTGACCCTTCAGTTAAAAGGGTGTCTTCAAGCGCATAAAAACCATTGCTTTTTTGCTTTGTTAAATAGCCAAGAATTTCTTGGTTAATTACCTACTGGATGCTGTCTGGTTTAATTAATGTGCTGGGAATTGCAGTTGCATACCATGGGATTCCAGAACAGCTGCATAATAGAAAAGAGCATTGAAGTTTCAAAGCATTAACCCACCGAGTAACTGGACCCAGTAGGCAGAAGTTTTCTCAGCTCAGCACCTACAGGCAGAGAGAGGTTGTTCCTTAAAATCAAAGCCTTCCTACATGACATAATCACTTCTGGTCAAAGGGCTTTGCGGGTAATGCAAGGAGCTCAAGGGTGAATGTCCACATCTTGGATCAAGGTGTGGGTGTTGTCTCCCCCACCCCATCCCTCCCCTTAAAGCCCAGTAGCATTTTCCTTGCTCTGGATGCCAGATTTATTTATATTATCATTAGCAGTGCTTGGGGGGGGCCTAATTTCTATCTGCAAAGACCAAGCAGAAGGTGGGTAAAATGAAACATACAACTGCTAACAAAGAAAACCACAGCTTCTTGTATGTAAGTACTACTCCATCAGTGCCCAAATCAATAGGTTGCTTGTGGACACCATGTCTATGATCTTTGCTTTGAATGTAAGAATGAAAAAGAACATACAGCCCAAACCAAACACCTCATTCAGACCCCTTTCTTTCTTTTCTTTCACTAAGGACCATCCCTAGAGTAATGAGAAGTTGACTAATAATGACATGACATTTACTGTGAGTCAGTATTATTTACTTTCAATCAGAGCCTGTTAGTCAATGAGCTGCACTGAGAGTCGGGATGAAGCAGTAGTTCTTAGATATCATTAGTATCAGTGAGGGGAACTTGTATCAATCTATCATAGTATTGCAAATTATTTTCATTTGGTATAGAAGACTAAAATGCTCTGACCAGAAACATCATCTGTGCGTTGGTGTTGAAATGCAGAAATGGCTTTTGTCATGATATGGTGCATCAGTGGCAGTCACTAATAATTTAAATAATTCAGCATGTCCAAAGAAGATACAACTAGCATGAGCTTCAAGTCAGAGAAAATTAACACGAGCAATATTTTCCTATTGTTTATCTACAGTCTTTATCTTGGCCTAAAGTTGTCTGTTCAAAGAGAACCTATTATTATTGATCCTGTTGAGCATCTTTAATCAACTGGTAACCTTTTTGCCTTTCGCCTGGAAGAAAAAACCTGTACTAGGCTTTGAAACGGTGAAATATAATCAATGCACAATTATAGTAGCTGGCATGTTTGTTTATAAGCGAGTATCTCCTATTTTTCCAGGATTCTGCAGTGCCTGTTTCCTTCTATCTACAGCATTGAGGACTCTCTTCCTTGGGCCCAGCTGCATTTGTATGCTCTGTAGATCTTCATCAGAACATAGCATGAGGGCATCTAAATCAATCTGTTCTCTGAGGAAGACAGGAACAAACTCATTCAGATTCTGAGAGGCCAAAAATACATCAAGAGGAGTGCTCTCTGCTTCATCATCTTCCCAACCAATTTCTTCCTCATTCCAAGGGACATCAAGATCATTTTCAGTGGCTAGCTCACTTCCATTTTCAGACTCCCTCTGTTGAAAAAACTCACCAGATATTTTAAAGCGTATTCCTTCTTTCTCAAAGGACATCTCTTTGGCATTTATGTCTGCTGCCAAATTCCTTCCAAACACAATTTTGCCCAGACCTGGCCGTTGGAAAATTGACATATGCTCCTGCTGGCTATCTTCTTCAGAAATGTTTCTCCCTTTAGAGTAATTTAAGAATTCATCCTCATCTTTTTCATTGAATACATCCATTACACCCATACGCGCAACCTTGCCTTCTTCCTCTTGGCTACTCTTTTGTGCATCCTTATCAGCTATGTTTTCATCTTTCTTTTTTGCCTTCAGTCTGAAGGTGTCCTTCAGGCTTTTGGAGAAGGTGCCTGATGTATTGGGAACAAAGAAATCAGGCACCTTCATCCTGGAAGCTGTCCCTTTGGCAGAACTTACTGATCCAAGCTTTTCTTTGTTATAATTCCTCATCATTTCATGTTGGTGCTTCTCTTGGCGCTTTTCACATTCCTTGATTTGTTTCTCTGCATTCTTCTGAGCCTGGGCCTTGAGTTTGGAGACCCTCTTGGCATTCATTATGGTCTGTTCAGTAGCAGCTTTGTCCAGGAGTCTGACACATTCATGCTGGTCCCTGCTGGCAGCTGCATCCAGCGGAGTGCGCATATCATTATCCAGAGCAAATATATTGGCACCAAACTTGATCAAGAATGAGAGACAGTGGATATGACCATTGGAAGCAGCATGATGGAGCGGAGTGTTTCCCCAGATGTCACATTTGTCTGGGTCGCCACTAAGGAGCAAAACATCAGAGAGTCAGGTCCATCAAATACATCTTAAACATAAGTGCCTGCCCCAGTGATGCATTGAGGGCCAAGTTCAAATCTGGGAGAAGCGGATGCTGTTCCAGTGAAGAAATGTGGACCGAGGGTTATGGCCTGTAATATACTTTTACCTACTTACATCAGGGCTGAATCTGGCTCTAGTTCAAGTCCCATCACCAATTCTGTGTGAAACTGAGCTAGCTCTTTGGGCCTGCAGCCAAAGTCGCATTCCAACCACACGGAAGAACAAGAACAAATATCCTTTATCCTTTGGGGTTTTTGGGTCTTGGGTTCAGGGACTGTACTGCTCCATTCACCTACCCCAAGCGGAGGGCAAGGAATGGATGAGTGCATAATGCCCCTTCTAGCAGGTTGAATTTATGACTGAACCATAACAGGGGTAATTATTTTCTCCTGATACAGGCCATCATTTGATTACTCACTCTCTTCCCCCTGCCTGCCTGCCTCCCTCACCTTGAAAGCCTGGTGGGGTGCCTCAGCTAGGCAATGCAGAGAATTTTACCATCGACTTCAAGAGAAGCAGGATCAGACCTTAAATTATGTTTCATGACACCAATGACAAAACTTCCACTGCTTTCAGCGGGACTGGGATTTCATCCATGGTATTTTAAAAGCTACTTTCTTTCTTTGATGTAAAATGCAGGAACAGTGGGAAACCTCTGCATTTGACTGCCTCCGAACATAGTTTGTGTGGTAACAACAGCAACTTTCACAATGGGTAATAAGTAAATTATTAGGAAAAAAGGCCTAAGTCTCCATGTCTACTATAATTAGGTAATGTTCAGGCAGAAGCCATAGTTTTTCTTCAGCTGCTGCTTAAACTGCTTCTATTCCTAACCCTTCCCCCAAAATACTCCTGGGATTTGAAAAGCAGAGATTCATAGGGACTGCATGCTGCCCTTGGCTAAAGACTACTCTTTCTGCTGGCCTCCCAGGCTTCCTATGGACTGCCACAACCCACAGTTCAGGGGATGCTGATCCCTCTGCCACCTGCTCTGGAAGCCAAGCCCAGAGTAGGGGAGGACTGAGACTTGGAGCAGACACCGACTATGCAGATGCCTGAGCTGGAAAGGGGAAGAGCCCAGCCAGCTGGTGGGCTTTAAGGGGACTGCAGGGTGCCTTTGGGTAGGTGCTACCAAAGGGCAACACTCAGTGGTCCCCTTTGGTATCACATTTCAGCAGGGATGGGGCAGGGGCAGGCATTGTATTTCTGGTTATAAACTGAATAATGCGCTTCTTTGGGAGGAAGGGGAGAATGAGCGGGTTTGGGGAACAACCCCGCCAGGTGAGAGAGAGAGGGATGAGCTTCAGAGGGATGTTATGGGAAGGGGGAGGGGACTCCTGGATGCGAGGCAGGGAGTGGGAGGATTGGGGAAGGCTTAGTTTGTCACACTGACCAACGTAATACTTTGTTCTGTTTTTATGTGTTGTTTTGTTTTGGATTGAAAGTGGTCCTGAGCTTTTTTTTTTTTTTTTTTTTTTTTGGAAGGGCAGCATATAAATCAAATATATTCATGCATACATAAGTAAGAAGTTTAGGTGTGTCCATGGTAATGGGGCAGCTGAATGGTCTTAGAAATCCCTTATGCCAATCGCACTTGCATACCCAAGGACTTTTGTGCAGCTAATGTGCCTTGTCTGTGGTTACACAGGAGTTCTGTGGTGGAGCATAGACCTGAACCCAGTTTTCCCGGGTCCCACGTCATTCCCTTACTGGGTTTTCCTTCCTTTTGCTTTAAGGAAAAGAGGCACGTATTAGAAATAATAAGTCGTTTTTTTTTTTTTTCTTGAAAGCCCCATCAGCCAGGGGCATTGTTTGAAAATCTTCCAAAATGCAGCTTCTTCCAGAGACCCAAACAAACTTTGCTGAGATTTAGACCAGTTTCTCTGACTCTCAAAGTTAAGGAGTCTCAGGTTAAAATGAAAGCTTTCAGGAAATCATCAGTAATAAAGGTTTGAAGCTTTTGGATGCTGTCCTGTACCAAGCTGATACCAATTTTAAATAAACTAGTGTAACTGATGAATAGAGAATACAGCTCTGTGGAAATCTTTGTGCTCTGTGCCCTATTTTGTGATTCGCACTGGTGTATATAGGACCGTGGAGCCTGGGAACACGTTATCTTGCTATATTCATTTTTCTTAACTAGTTAATTTTCCCTTTTTATCTTTTCCTAAATTATAAGCCAGATCTCCAATGTCTTCAGCAACATCACTGGAATTACATATTGTTTTATACCAATTTAGAATCTGGCTTCTGTGTTTTGCTTTTCCTAAGGTTATAGCAACAGCCATATAGTCTAAAGATCTCTTTTATTGGCAGTCAGGTGTTTCTATAGCCACACCTTAGATCAAGAAGCTAAGAGGGGCATCTACCTATTACACTTACCATGTACAGGGAACTTTTTTTCTATTTTTGCAGAAGAGCAAAACACAACTAAAGAAGTATTTATCTTTCCTTGGTTTTCTGCCCTCTGCTCTTTGATGGTTTCCCCAAGTGAAAATGCTCTAGTCCCCTTCTTTCCCCAGTGGAAGACTCCACTAAGAAATAGACTCCTAGGATGACAGCCTAAAGAGAAGACTTGGAGGAAACAGTGGGCAATCCAGAGTAGGGGAATGACCTTTTTATAATTTATCTATAGTGCTGGTGCATTTAATAATTAACGTGAGGAAAAACTACGTCAGAGAAACCTCCTTTAGTTTATATTTAATTCCTTTGCATTTTTTCCTGAAATTTTACCAGCTCCAGCAGAAGCACAGATTTGTTTTTCAGGCATAACTTCAGTTTCTAATGCTATCAAGAGCAGAAAAATCACATTTTTTAGATTCAGCTCTTTCTGCTTTCCTTCTGAAA